CTGAACTATTAATGTTTTGTTTATTGTGAATATCTAGAAAGAGCCATTCTAATGTGCTGATAAGTAGTTTCTGTCAGTTATCTAATGTCAGTGTTTGGTTCTTCAGACCGGGGACCTGGGTCTGGATATGGCAGCACAAGGAGATCCTCTGGCTTTCAGGCAAGATGGTGAGTTTTTAAGCTTTACATGAGCTTCATTCTTGTCTTCTCCCCCCCTCCCCCAAGATGTTGTCTGCATTTCTAGAAAATCTTTTATGTTTTTTGGTAATTGCACTGAAAGTAACAGCACTTTTGTTTCTACACTGAGGCTTCTCTCTTTCAGCATTGAACTGCACAGGAACAAACCTGTGAGTTTGTACTTATCCAAAAACTACTACAAAGCTACGCTACCGTACACATTTCCTGACAAAATAGAAACGTGCCACTTAGCATGAAACGACAAACTTGCAGCATAACGTTTCGTTTTTACATTGAACCTTGTGGGTCTTATTTTTGCCTTTCAGACGGAGCATATCGGGCGTACCCAGCAGCTTATGGCCAGGACCCTCTGTTAGACCCTATGATGGAAGGTGCAGACTACCATGCTGATGCGCTGCCCGACCTGGGTCACCATACTGATCCTTTGCCAGACCTTGGCCATACCCAGGAACTGATGGACAGCAACCAGCTGGCCTGGTTTGACACCGACCTGTAGGATTGGTACGAGCCTGCAGATCTTTTAAAAACCTCACGTATGGATTACAGCATATTAATTGCACATTATCTTATGTTTTCTTTCAGTCATTTTCCAATAGAACCTGCATTGTGACTGTCCTGTATTGTCTGAAGCAGCATTACGATTGCCCTGTAGAGTGTTAAAGGTAAAGAGAGAGGAAATTAAAGTGGTCCTGGGAAGTGCCTGACACAAGAAAAGAAAAAAGAAAAATCAAAGATGGTTCCCACAGGATTGTTTAAGCAAGTTGAAACAGAGGGGACAGGAGAATTTCCAAGTATCAAAGATATCACACAATGGAGGGTAAAGAGCAGGTTATCTATTTGGATGAGTGCACAAGAGGTTGATCTTAAAAGTGTGAAACACATGTTTTAGCCTTGCCTGTATTAGGTTTTTTTGTTTCTACTTTTCTTATTCTATTTTTTATTTCTTTTTGTAATACTCATTATATGTTATGGTACTGACCCAGCTTGCCTTCGCACTATCCATTTTCATTTTCTCTCCAATGCTAATCATTTGTATTTTTTTTTTCTTTCTTTCTTTCTTTTTTTAAGAACGTATATTACACGTAGTGTTAAGTTATAGTGATATTATACAATGTTCCTTTGGTTATGGTCGAATGTGTAGAACACTAATAATCAGTTGAAATGTACTCTGACTTAAAGTGTAACATTGTGTAGGTTTTTTTTTTATATAATCTCAAAAATGGAGAATTATGCACTCAATATGTGCTTGTTTAAGCATAAAAAAATATGTCGGTGTCAAATGTTCTAAATGGGGAAATGGGTGAAATTAAGGGTGGGCTGGGGATAAATCTACAAACAAGTGTTTTATATACAGTATCACTGGTAGGTTAACAACTATTTTGTATGCCATCATTGGATGTTTGATAGGAAAAAAAAAATAACGCTATCGTTGGTGGTTTGACAAAACCCACGTTTCATGTCCTATCAATGGTAGCTAGGTTGACAAACGGTTGTAGTCCTGCTGTGTTTATTTTGGAGACGAGGTTATGACACGGCTGAACAATAAAAAGCATTTTATTTCATCCAGTCTTTGTCCCGCGTCTTCTGTCTTGGTTCCATAGCTTTCATTTAAACCACAGTCCTAACACTTTATTTACAGTTGTTTAAACCTACATTTCAATTATCACATATATATATATATATATATATATATAAATTGTGGTAAAGTCAACCAAAGATTGGTGCTCGTTCCTTTCGGTATAAACAATTACATTCAACTTTAATTAGCTGTAACATAGTAACATTGTGGAAGTCCATCGGGACTTAAACTATACGATATAAACACCTTCACTGAATCAAATTTACAGCATTTAATCATTTTTATTTAGCAAAAAAATACATTTCACAACTGATATAAACTATTTCCTACAGTGTCCCAGAAGGATTTTTTTTTTGTTCTATCTGCAAATTTTTTCCCTCATCTGGAAGAAAAAACTGCAAGTTAGCTGTTTCACTCTACTTTTTGTTCTCCACAGCATTGTGTACAATTGGAGGTATTTTTCCATGAAGTACCATTATCTTGTAAACTATTGTGTCTTTGAATCAAGTCAGTCAGCTAAGGTGCTTCATATGGAAATGTGGATAATGGTGAAAGTGGTCTGATGCTGTCTGAAAGCTTGGGTGGGGTTAAGACATTCATTCCAAAGATTCTTGTCTGATGGCTTACGACACAGTTGTCAAACTGCAGTCCTCAAGCAACTTTTAGATGCGCCTCTGCTGCACCACACCTGAAAAGAATAATTAGGTCATTAGCAAGGCGCTGGAGAACCTATCTACACAAGAAGGAGGTAATTAAGCCACTTCATTCCAGTGTATTGTACCTGTGGCACATCTAAAGACTGCAGGACGGCGACCCTTGAGGACCGGAGTTTGACCCTGGTTTACAGGAAGGGTTTTTTCTTCTTTTTTTTTTTAGTAGACCAGCAGATGGAGTTTAAAGATTCAGGACAATAGCATTAATTTGATTTTTTTGTTCTTTTCAACTGGCTAGGTCGTCCTGCAACAAGGCATCCCTATACCATGACATCTCTACCTACATAGTTGGTTCACACAGTATTTGGCTTATGCCAAACAAGATCTATGTGCTCAACTGCAAATAATTAAATTTCAAGTCAGAACTTGTGGTCTTGAGTTTTCACTGACAACTTTTAGTCTGGCCTTCTCCTGTGAAACCTTTTTTTCTACTAGTTGTCTAGTAGACTGTCAACATTTGCAGCTGCTTGCTCCTGTAGTCCCATGATGACATTCTAGATTTTTTTTTTTTATTTGTTCCTGAAGGAAAGGGATTGTAAAAATCAGCAGATGGGATAAATGGGAGCACAAACAATCTCTAATGTGGGTGATTTAACAGGAGCAGTGCTGTTTAATGGGATGTTTCAAATGGAAATGAAATGGCTACATTCCAGTCATTTTCACCTCTTTTAAATGTCAGTGCAGTCTGACCCAGTGGAGCGACGGAGCAGGGCTGTTTGATCTGGAGCTGTTTTCTAAAGTCCTGAGCTTCTTGTGTTGCAAATAGGACCAGAATAAAACCTTGATAAATGCCTCATTGCAATCAGGTTGTGTCCCATCAATTCTTAAGCATGCTGTGGTTAAACCCCTTCTTAAGAAACCCAAATTAGACTCAAGTGTACTAGCAAATTTTAGGCCCATTTTTAAACTCCCTTTTTTTATCTAAGGTTCTTGGAAAAATTAGTTTCTATTCAGCTTGAAAAGTTTTTAAATGACAATAGTATTTTAACAGAAGTTTCAGTCTGGGTTTTAAAGCTGCTCATAGCACTGAAACAGCTTTGCTTCGAGTGTATAATGATCTTCTAACAGTTGATTCAGGCAATGTTGCAGTTTTATTATGTCTAGATCTGAGCGCTGCATTTGACACTGTAGATCATCAGATTATTTTATATAGATTAAAGCAATGTGTTGGCCTGAGAGGCCCAGTATTTGCGTGGTTTAAATCTTATTTAGAAAATAGAACTTTTTCAGTTCATCTCAACCAACACTGTTCTGAGGCCAAACATTTAAGGTACGGTGTTCCCCGAGGCTCAATATTAGGTCCTGTTTTGTTCATCTTATATTTATTGCCACTTGGTCAGATTTTCCATAAATTTAACGTCTCTTTCCACTGCTTTGCGGAGTCTAGAGATTCTAGAGGTTTATTTGCCCCTTAAACTACAAAATGGTAAAAATTAATCTCTTCCGCTAATGATAGTTTGTTTAGCTGAAGTGAAATCTTGGATGGAATAAAACTCTCTTTACCTAAATCAAAGTAAAACTCAAGATATATTATTTGTTCAAAGACTTTAAACTACAAATCCGGATCTGATTCTTGGTTCTTTAGCTCGGTTTTGTCAGACCTCTGCTAGGAATCTTGGTTTTCCTTCCGATAGCAGTTTAAAGCTAGCTAAACAAGTTAGCTCTGTCGTTAAATCAAGTTTTTAATCACATGCCGGATTTTAGCCAAAGCTAAATCTTATTTTTGTTTTAAGGACTTTGAAGGACTTATCCATGCCTTCATTACAACTCGTTTGGATTATTGCAATTCTTTATATAGTGGCGTGGATAAAATCACAGATGCAGCGACTTCAGCTGATTCAGAAGAACGCAGCGGCACGGCTTCTTACAGGAACCAGGAAGCTTGACCATATAAGGTCTATAACTATTTGAAATGGGAGTTTTATTTATTTATTTATTTATTTATTTATTTAATTAATACCAGCCATCACTCCATGAGTGCCTGACTTAAAGAATAAATTTGTAATTAATGGTGGAGCATCAAGTTTCCTGTCCAAAGACTATATAGGAATCTTATTGAGCATCAAATACCAGAACACTTTAATTACAATCTGTTAGCCTGTGCCTAAAATCCTAAAAAACGATCTACGTTAATTATCTATTACATCTGTATTCTTCAGAACACTTATCCAACAGAATCTTACCGATTCCTATTAAAAAAAAACTTGTGAGCTAAACGGAGAAAAGTAAATGACAGAAGACCCAAAACTAGTTTATCTGAAAAGACTTTGTTTAATAATAATAAAAAAATTAAAGGTCACCATGTTTCAAACCTCTTGAAATGCTGTCAGATTAAGTGTAAATGTGATCATGAATACATTTTGCTGAAAGATGAACAGTTTTTAACTCCTAATTAGCAAAGAACCAACATTCTTGATCCGATTTCAAAGTAATATTTACCACTTTTTTTTTTGTATGTCTTTCTCTTCCATTTTTTTTGGGCCCTTAATCTCAATGCTTTTTACACCTGAATATACGTGATGATTTATTAACCTCACTCAAAAATATTTATCTGGGACAAAAAGCATTGAGACGCAGCTATTACAACAATACATTAGCTTAGCATGTTTACGGGTTTCTGAGAAGAAGGGGGGGGGGGAAGTACTTTGAAGTGTGTATTCCGCCAGATGAAAATGCGGGAGACTGCTTTTTACAGGTGTGAAACAATTCATTGCCATACATGAGACGTGACGTTTGGAAATGTCGGTGCGGAATACGTGACGAAGCCGTGCTGCGCCCTGGTGAAGTAAGGCGCCGACGAGGGAGCAGCGCGCACAGGAACCCACCCGGCGCGTTCAACAGCTCTGTCAGCCACGAGCGTGTGATCTGTGCTGCCCCCTGCTGAGCCGATGTGGGAAAAACAATTCGAAGCGTGTGAAATAAGGGGACCCGCGGGGTAGCAGATGAAATCTCTTTGTGGGGTCGCGGGCAAAGGCCGCTGCTCCACGCCAGGCAGATGGGAAGCTCCGGAGGGCGGAGAAGGGGGGGGGCTGTCTCTCTTCAACAGGGATTCGACGGAGAAAGGTCCAGTGAACTTCACCTTACATCTGACCTGGTCAGGCCTGCGGGATGCAGGTTGAGGAGAGGGGGCAGCTCTGTCCAGCTTCTCCCTTTCCAGCTTAGAGGCCAACTCGGGGAAGAATTGCAGGAGCCCGTTAAAGTGACGGCGCACCATCTTCGCTGTGATCTGACTGCAGTCCAGTTTCCAGTAGTTTTTCTTGCTGTTCAAGGAATTCGGGATCACTGGAACCTAAACAAAAAATAAATAAATAAATAAAATAAAATAAACGGGTCAATATATGATGCAACGTTATTTCACAAAATATATTCACACAGTCAAACAAAAAAGAGAAAAAAGTAACAAAAGTGAAACTTACTTTGATGAAGCAACCGTGAGTTGACAAACAGACTCTGATGTTGTTCTCAAGAGATTTTCTATCCTCGGACATCAGCTGCATCAGTCTATCCATCAACTGGGGGGGAAAAAAAGAAGAAAATATTCAGCATCCTTCTGACACATGACAAATTTCCCCGTGTTACATCCAGCAAACAACATGCATTTTAAAATTGTTCAACTTTTCTCACCTGAGTGAAAGTGAGCATCCAGTTTGGAGCATTCCGGAGGATTATAGCAATCTTGGACAGGTAAGTCGTGGCCCACTTGAAAGCAGCTCTCTGAGTACTGCCAACAGGGCCACGACGATAAAACTCAGCTCTGTAGCCCATCATCTTGCTCTGCTTTCCCTCTGCTGGAGATTCAACCTGGGCACGGAGAGAGACTGGTGGTCACATTCCCTGCTTCTGTGAGGACGAAGTGGTCGGCTCTGGATATAAGTCCTGTTAGAACAATGAGACGTCAGAAGGTGTCCACTGCAAGATAATAGGGAGCCATTCAGAAGATGACGGCCCTATTAGTGCTGGAGGTGGAGCCAGGTCCAACCTGAATTTGATCTAACCTGTAGACAAATGCTGAAATGTGTGACAACAACAAAGTCTCTTTTCTTGAATGCACTTAATGCATTTATGCCTCTTCGTGGCGTCAAACCCACTTTAATATTTCCCTAACAAAGTTTCAGAAGAAAACTCTGAAGTTTTCTCTGTAGAAATGTCCATAGCTTTTATTAAAAAAAAAAAAAAACTTTACAGGGAGAGTTTTATCAGGAAAAATGTAAAAATAACACTAAGGTGTTATTTTTACATTACATTTTTACATAGCTAACTTCTATGCTAGTCTTTGAAAGATGTGTTGCATTAGGCTACTACACCCACATATACATTTAATTTCCCCCCCTCCCCCTCCTAATTTTACTGTCTTTGTAAAAGAAAAGCTGCAAATTTTATTTAAGCCACTGATAATGTGTGTACTTTCTGTAAACACTAAAAATTTACAGTTACACTGAACAAAGGGCGTGCTACTTGCTATTAAAATGTGCTCAGCAGACTGTTACGCTATGTTCTTTTCTTGATACATTTACATTAAATGTACTGTAGTTGTTTGCACCGAGATTCTCTATATAAAATAAAACCAGAGGAAGAAACGATATACTTTATGTTCCCCTAAGGGATTTTGACTGCGCGTGGCAACACAAAAAGAACAACAAAATATACCAAAAAAAATAAAAAAATAAAAATAAATAAAATTAAAAAAAAAATCACTGTTCAGATGACAAAGTTTCTCCTAGCAAACGGAGAAGCAAGTAGGCATAGCAACCACACCCTCTAATCAATTGAATGAATTGAGCTGGTAACAAGACTCTCATCCCATCAAAGTTGTACAAACTGTATAGATCTAACTCCTTGCACACAGGCAATGTGTTGATCATTGGAGATGACTGATGTTAATTAGTGCCGTCTTTATTAGGGACAAAAGGCAGGAGAGTGAATTAGAAAGATGTGATTTGATTGCTTTCTGGAATGTCGCAGGTCATTCACAATGTAGATATCAGTAAAGCAACAGAGAGGAAAAACATACTTAATTTTTATTTTTTTTCTATTAAACTATGAGTTTTTGGTTAATTACGTTGTAAGAAGATATAATGAACCCAACGTCTGCTGCATGTTTTTTTGTTTTTTTCCACAGAGAAAATATCCAAGCAGAAATAACATCTGTAACTGGGGTTTAGGAGAGCAGTTTAAGATTTCATTAGTCTAACTTATTATCTTGAGTTCGTAAATGTACATTTTAGGCAACATAGCTACAATATTTCAACACCTATGATTAGAGTTTTACGTTAGATTTCTCTACTTTTGTGTATTTTGAAGGCTTAACATTTTATTTATCGTAACAGTGAGCACAAAATACTTTTGCTCAAAATTTCTGAAAAAGACAGCATACATTTCAATTAACACATTAAGATGTTTTACAATGCTGTCTTTTAAAATGTGTTATTTTCACTGTTTTTAAGACCTTCAAACTTCAGCAAATTTTGAATGGATGCTTGAAGATTACTAATGTATTTGTTTTAAATTGTAAAGTGTTGAAACGTATGTTCTGTAATAGATTACCACTTTAAATTAAGTCGAGCTTAATAATATAAGTCAGTGCAGGAGTACATTAAATCCAATTTGTGCAAGAACTGACAGGTTTTTTTTTTTTGTTCAAAAATCCAAAAGCTCCTCGTCAGAGGTCACAGAAATATTTCTAAGTTTTGTTTGACTGAGTTGTGATGCAGCAAATTTCAATTTAATAGATCCTACATTTTCATTCAATTGTTTCAACTCAAAAATAAGCAAATAAATAAAAACATAACGTGGCAGGCCCAACATTTTCAAGATTATTTCTGATTTATTTGTGATTTCATTTGAAAGAGCTTAGAATACAATTCTAGTGAACCTAAGACGATGTGTTAAAAAATAAACAGGGCAGAAAAGAATCACAACTTTGTTTTCAATTAAATATTTCACTTTCTTGTATGACACGCCCACACCTAAAGCATAGTTTGAACATTTCAGGAATTTTATTTGATTTTTTTTTAAATTTAGATGGTTAAAAAAAAAAAAAAAAAAAAGTCCTACATGTTCAATTGTCTTTATGTAAGAAATGTTGGACATCAACTTTAGGAAGTAGAAATCGAAAACGTTTCAGATGAAGGTGTGCTTTCTGTGTTCATATGTAGTTTTTGGAGCAGGCCACCTCTGCGGTCTCATGCTCCACGTCCTGCATTGACGGCTCGTCGTTTCGCGAAACGACGAGCCGTTGCCCTGCAGCAACACACCCTCTGACGTCCTGTTGCTAGAACCGGTTTTAAAGCTGGAAAACACAGGACTCTCGTCTAGACCTTTTCATTACTCCCATTCGTGTGTCTCTAAGAAACGAGATGCAGATTAGGACTGAGCAGCTTGAGACGTAGCTGTTTTCTGCTCAGAGCGGATACTTCATGAAAAGCATCACACATGTTTGACAAAGATTGTCCTTGCTTCCCAGAATGCTCCAGGCAAAGATGCTTGCCATCACCCAGGGCAGAAGACATTTACAATTTCATCTTTATCATGGAAAGCAAAACGTACGACTTTCTGAATCTAATGTTTTACAGTCGGTGGACTTATTTCAGAAGACAGAAAGTCTTTGGAGAACAACGTCAGAGTATGCTGATCGACTCACAAATGCTTTCTTAAGGTACATGTACTTTTATTTATTTTACTATAAACTTAAATTTGTTTCTCTGCCGCGTATCACCTAATCGGCCCTGACTTTTTCAGATTCCACTGATTTCAGATTCAAGGGACCGCGGGAGGAACTACTGGAAACTGGACTGCAGTCAGATCACAGCAAAGGTGGTGCGACATCACTTTAATGGTCTCCTGAAGGTCTTCCCTGAGTTGGCCTCTAAACTGGAGCTGGAAAACCTGAACACGCCATCAGAGCAGAGCTCAACTCTCTCTCCTCCTCAGCTTTCATCCTGCAGCGCCGCTTGGGTCAGAGATGTGAGGGGAAAGTTCACTGGTCCTTTCTCGGTCGAATCCCTGCTGAAGAGAGACGGTCCGCCTGCTCGGACCTGCAGAACTTCTCCTCTGTCTGACCAGGGGTGGCGATCTGGGCAGATCAGCTCCCGAGGTGCACCACACCCTCAAAAAAAAATGAGTTGAATTGGTTCAATTGGTAACAAGCAATTCAATTAAGTTTCATCCAACTCAATTTGTTAATTTTTTTTAAACAAATGTATTAAGTATGTTTAAGATAACAGATTTAAGTCAGTCTTACTCAAATCATTTAGTTTACTTCAAATAATGTTAAATGGACTGAACTTATATAGCACTTCTCCAGTCATTTTGACCACTCAAAGTGCTTTACAGTAGAGCATGGGTGTCCAGAGTCGGTCCTCGAGGGCCGGCATCCTGCATGTTTTAGGAACAACCTTTTCAGCATGAGAATGTTCCTCTTAGGCCTTCTAACGAGCCATCATTTGATCCAGGTGTGTTAAACATCGACACGTGGCAGGAGGAAGCTGGAACCTTCTGATCACAAGACGACTACTCTACCCACAGAGTAGTCGGCCCAAATAAAGAACTAAATTAATAAAGGATCTCTTTTGTTCAAAGGGTTTTTGGCTGAGGCAGCCTTTATTTGAGCGTAGTCATTCAGGAAAACGGTTAATGACAGTGAGGAGGAGCTGCAGCTCAGGTCATCAGGTCGGGCATCAAGCCTGCGAAGGCCGGGTCGAGGACTACGTCCTCCTTATGTGGATTGTGCTCTACCCCGGCGCCACCACAGCACCCTGGTTGGTACAGAATCTGTCCCTGGTTAGCTTGAGTCATGGTGTCAGACGTGGGATACAAATATGGTATTGAGCTTAATTATGACAGTAAAGTCAAAGTAAAAAGGTCATTTAAGGACACTGTAAAAAGAGTATTAAAATTTAGTTTGGAACTACTTAAAAGTTTGAGTTGACTTTCTGTAGAATTAAGTTAAAGAGATTTTAAATGTTTATTAGAACAAAATAAATGATTTGAGAAAGAGTGACTTAAATTTGTCATCTTAAACCCCCTTATGAATTAAGTTATAAAAACTTAGCAAATTGAGTTGGAAGGACTTAATGAATTGGGTTGGTCAGACGTCAGACTGGCATTGAACTCAATTGTTTTAAGTAAAGTCAAAGTGAAAAAGCTACTTCAAGTCAAAGATTTGTAAGTTTTGAGTTAAATGAACACAAAAAAGTAAGTTGTCATATTTGTATCCCACGTCTGACACCATGACTCATAGCAAAAGAATTAAGTGAAATTAATGTAAATATGTCCATAAGATGAACTGCAGCCCAAAATACACCTTTTAGAGCGCAGCTGCTGCTACTCTGAACAGGATCTGCTCCTTCAGACTTCATCTGGATCTTCCCCCATCTGCTCAGCAGGAGGCAGCACATCAGGAGGATTCCTGCGCACTCTGCTCCCTCCTCCTCCATCTTCAGCTGCTTCCTATTTCACTGGCTCGCGCTACAGTTACATCACACACTCTGCACCAGCATTT